GTGCTCCACTCGTTGTTGTGAGTGTCGCTCCTCTGCCCTCCGTTGTTGCTGGAGGGAGACTGCCTCCAACTGCCCAGTAGTGATCTTCACGAGCCTCCTCCACAGAGGCCGATCTTGACACCGCTGCTGCCACATCCTCTTGTACCACATCACTCCATCTCTTCTATGGCCCGTGCCACGCCCGTTTAGCCTCTATCCGGCCTAACAAAAGCTGTTTAGGTATGCGGTGGCTGGGCATACGGGCGACATGGCCCAGCCAACGCAGCCTTGCCTGCCAGAGGAGCTCACCGATGGGACTTTGTCCAGATCTTTCAATGATTTGTAAATTCATCACACAATCCAGCCTGGTTAAACCCATGATGGATCGTAGACATGCCGGCGAAGATGTTCCATTAGGGGGGGGGGGGTCCACGTTTCGCAAGCATAGAGAAGGGAGGGCATGACCGTGGCCGAGAAGACCCGAAGGTAACTTTCAAACTTTGTAACGCAGCCGATGAAACAATAATGCCGCTTGACTGATTCGGAGTCAGACCTCTGCTGTCAAACCGGGGCTGGTCATGAGCACACTGGCCAGGTATAAAAAACTCTCCACTCTCTCCACAACTGCCCCATCACCAATTGGGAGTTGGGGTGGAATTTTCTGATGGCACAACATACCCAGTCAGGTGGTTAGTTTCGGTGGGACTGATGGTAAGGCTCCAGATTCAGCAGCAGCTCCTCCAACTCCTCCTCTGAGTGAGCAGCAATCACCAGATCATTAGCATACGTAACATGGTTGACCAATACGGAGCCATCCCTTGACCGCACCTAGGAATCGATCAGCCTCCCATTGTATCTGTACCAGATGGCAATTCCTCCGGTACAGTCATCGAAGGCTTCACAAACTTCTTGGTCGACATAGATGTTAAATAATGTAGGAGCCAGAGAACAACCCTGCCACACCCCAAGGTGAACAGGGAATGGCTCAGACTCCCAGCCACATAGTTTTACCCAGGCCTGCCCACCATCATAAAAGTGCTTAATGATTGTGAGCAAAGAGTCAGGGACTCCGAAAGGACGAAGAACAACCCAGATCCCAGGCATACTGATGGTATCATAGGCCTTGACCAGGTCAATAAAGCAAAGATGTAGGTCCTGTTGAAATTCTATACACATCTGTTGTAGCAGACGAAAAGAAAATATGGCTTCTGTGCAGGACCGCCCTTTGCTAAAACCACATAGTGGTTCTGCAAGCCTCTGCTCAGCGTGCCTAGTCAGGCGATGTTGAATAATCCTTGCCAGAACCTTTCCCAGCACACTGAGGGAGCTTCCCCAGTAGTTGTTACAGTCTGTGTGGTCCCCATTCTTAAAGAGGGGGACCACCAGGACATCCTTAAAATCCTGCGGAACCCATTCGGTGATCTAGACTTATTATGATGTTATTTAGGGCATCACAAACGCCACCCTCCCTCGGCATTTCGCTTGGGAGATCATCTCTGCCCGGTGCTTTTCCTGGTATCAGACTCTGGATCGCCTTCTGTACTTCTCAACAGATGGTACTGCAGCCAGCCACTCACAGGGGGTGACTACTTCTGCCAATATTTGAGGCACAACAGCCTCAGCAGGGTCATCCCCACTTTGCCCCATGATGTTTTCCAGGCTGAGGGAATTCCCCTCCCCCAAGACCTCACAGAAATCATCAGCAAATCTGTAAACCTGTTCCTGGGGGTCGGAGATTAGATCATCTTTCTTTCGCATAATAATGGTGATAGGTGTGGCGCTGCAAGTTACTGTTTTGATAGTGTTAAAGAGTGATTTGTGATCGCGGGCTACTGAGGCAGACTCAATCTCCTCAGCAACCCGCGACCATCATCCATCCGTGCAGTGCTACACGGCTCTCCAAACCTCCAAGAGAAGGCTGCGATAAGCCTTCTCATTCTCTGAAGTGGGATGCTGTAGACGGTGAGAGTGGGCCTGTCGCTTTATTTCAGGCAGCCAGAACACCTCTGTTAACCAGGATCTCTGGTGAGGTTTTCAACATGCACCCCAAGCTGGCCTTGTAGCTGCATGAGCCACAGTCCTAAACTCGCACATTTCCCCTCGGCATAAGGAGGAGTGAGGGATGATGCCAACCCCAGCTGCAAGTGATGATGCAATTCTCGCTTGCAACTTTCATCAGCTAGCTGAGACCAGGCCACCGTGGGTTTGAATGGGGTCCTGGATATACATCCACCACTGGAGTGGAAGAATGGCAGGCGCATCTTACAGATGACAAGGCGATGATCAGTGGGCACATCAGCTCCGCGTTAGGACCTGCTGTTTAGGACATGGGCCCACATCCACTGTTCCGTCACTATATAGTCCAGAAGATGTTCTTGCTTGGACCAGGTGTGCATCCATGATGTTGTGTGAATGTGCCGATGCTGGAACAGCATATTGGTAATTACAAGCCCATGGGCTGCACAAAAGTCTAGCAGCCTCCTAGCTTTATTGTGCTGATCTGGCCCATGCCTTCCAATCAATCCAGACCAGGTGCCAGCATCATGGCCCACTCGGGCATTAAAGTCATGCAACAGGATGACTCTATTCCAAGGGGCCACTTTAGCGAGCACCTGTAACAGGAGGTCATAGAAGGCATCTGGCTCATCGGCCTTGCCTGCATCCCTCCACTGATGTTCATCTTCGGTGGGGACATAAGTAACCACGACCACCACTCCTCGCCTTTGGTTGATGGTAAGGCGAGCCTATAGTAGCCTGGGGCTTACAGGTTCCCACACCTCACTGCCATGCTCCCATATGCCCTTCATTATTTTGTTCAGAAGTAGAGCCACTCCCTGTTGTTTGGCAGTCTCCTTTTCAGAGTAGTAGACTGTCTACCTGTCATGGTGGCAGGAGCCAGAGGTGGTCCACCAGACCCCCTCAATACCGCAGAGATCCAGGCGGTAATGGTCCAGCTCCCGACAGAGGAGTAGCAGTCTTTCCTCCTCAGTGAGCGTTCAGACATTCCACGTGGCCACTCACAATGGCTTTTTGCTGTTTCTGGAGGAACCCTGAGGGTAAGGATTCAGTCTCCTAGCTCTGCCAAATGGGGTTTGGCCAGGAGACATCATAGACGCCTGTCCCCCCAGGGCCTCCGGTACAAGCTTAGTTAGATTTTTAACACGTGTTTTAGTGGTGGCTATGAGCACCATGAGGGGAAAAGCCGAATGGAATTGGCCGTTCCCCTCATGGAATTGCTCGCATCCACCACAGCGCTACCATCCGGCACCACCAAGGAGGTAGGGGGTTGTTTTTGCCGGACCCACAAACCAAGGCCGCAATTATAATATAAATTGGGGGGGACACATCCCCCCCAATATTCAAATATGCTCAAAATATCCCCCCCAATATATTTCTATAAAATAGATTTCTGTTCATATGATTGTGGTTATGGTTGTACTTTATTAATCCCTAATCTCTGCCATTACATACAATGAAACAAGAAAAGATTAAAAAAAGAAAAAACAGAGCAATGCAATACAATACACTATGAGACATTATTGTAAAAAAAATCATCCATCCTATGTGTTAGTGAATTGTTTAATATTTTAGTCAGGAAATTCGTTTTCAAATTTAGATTTTTTTTTCTGGGGGGGGGGACCCCCAGACGCCCTGGAAGATTTGGTCCCCCCCAATGTTGACTCCATGGCTACGGCCTTGCCACAAACACCCAACCACTCACACACACTACCACCAGCAACATAACTACACGCACCCATTCACACATACTACCACCATCAACATAACTACACACACACCCCCACACCCCCACACCGCCAAAGACAAAGATCCGCCTATAGCCTGAACAGGGGCTAGTTTGTTAAGGCCACCACGTTTGATAGCGAGCACGGTACACGAGGGGGTGGGTGGCCAGCACCACGCCCGACTGCCTTTGTCTCCCCAGAGGGGATGTTTACACACCGCACCAGGTACTCATTTGAGGCCGAGTCGACCTAGGGGAGGCCCAGAAGCGGTCACAGATATTAATCACCGGTGTTAACCGTGAGCGGGAATCGAACTCGGGTCGCAGGGTTCGTAGCGCAGTGCGCTAACCGCAACACCACCGCTCCCCACTACCACAACAACTCCCCCTCTCCCGTCCCTATGTCTTGGGGCAGAATTGCTAACGTCTCACGCGAAGGGCTGGATCAAAGCGAACATTGTGTTGTGCGTGTAAACATTGCCACGAGCGTGCGCGTAACAACGGGTTAACGGCGTTTTCTTTCAAATCACCGGTGAGCAGCAACGCCGGCGCGCGCGCGCACACACACAGACACACACACACAGACACACAGACACACACACACACTTGAGTGTATTCGTGTCCTTGTGTGTGTGCGCGGGTCTTTGTCTGTTTGTGTCTTTGTGTCTTTGTATAACGGCTAGTGCGCTGAAATATGAACCCGGCGACATAAGTTATATTCTAGCCAACGCATGTGACTATTATCTGCACCGGTCCTGGGCCTCCCCTAGGTTGACTCAGTCTCAAATGAGTACCTGGTGCGGCGTTTAAACATCGCCACTGGGGAGACAAAGGCAGTCAAGCGTGGTCCTGGCCACCTGCATAAGTGTCGCAAACAGTCCCTGCCCCAACAGTCTGTTAAGGCTATACAGAGGATCGTTCTGTTTGTGCCCGTCTGTAGTGTTGCATTTGTGTACGGTGCCTGCGCGCGCGCGTATGTGTCCCTTCTCTCTGTCTCTTCGTGTGTATTTCAATGCAGTGCTTGTGGCGGGGTGGGTGGGTCGTGGTGATGAATTTGGCGATGCCGAATGCGTTCGTGGTGGTGCTGCTGCCGGTGATAGTGATGCCAGTGTCTGTGGTGGCAGTGGTGAATGCGCTGCTGCTGTTGCTTGTGGAGGTGATCGATATGATTATATTGATTGATGTTCTGTTTCATGCGGTTGACATCGTGAGGATGGTGCTGGTGAGTGGGTGAGTGTGGTGGTGGTGGTGTTGCTGGTGATGATAGGGAGTGAATGCCGAGTGGTGGTGAGTGTGCATTGGTGTTGATGATTGTCGGAGTGAGTGGCTGACATAGGTGCTGATAGTAGTGGGTGAGCGTGTGATATAATTGGGTGGAGGTGATGATGATGTTATGGTGAAATCACGAGTGTGTGGTGGTGGACAGTGCGCAGGAGTGATAGGAGTGGGTACGTGTGGTATTGGTGGTGGTGATGGTGAGACAAAGGCGGCCGGGCACGTGTTCCCGGCCACCCACCCCACGTGTGCCATGCCGTCCTTCATCGGTGCTCGCGAACAGCACTTCCCCCCAAGTCTGTTAAATCCGCATGTAGAGGACCTTCGTCTCTGAGTTTGTGGGAGGTGACGGCTGCCGGCGGTGGCAAGAGAGGAAGTAGTGGAGGTGGAAGGGGAGGAGAAGTAAGAAGAGCCATTCTACCTCGCGCGGAGCTCACATCGGGGCGCGGCTCTTCCCATCCTCCCATCCCCCACAAAGACACGCGCATCGCGGACCCTACGCGTGCGCTCCTCACAATCATCCCCTCCTGCTCCCCCTCCCCGTCTCCCCCACGCCCTCCACCAGCACCACGTCCCCCTGCTCCCTCTCCATCAGACTCCTCCTGCACGAGCGCCATTGGTCGCTAGCTCCTTGGCGCTTCCACGCGTTCGGCGGAGCGGCGTGGGGCGCGCGCGCGAGTCGAGACCGCGCCTGTCACGCGCGTCCCTCTCCGCGCTCTCTCTCTCTCCGCGCTCTCCCCCAGCCTCACTCACTGACACTCACATACACACAGAGCTCTCTCGCTCTCTATCTCTCTTGCTCTTACACATGCGCGCGCGCACATCTCTCTCGCTGAGACTCACACGCGCACATGCACAGAGCTCTATTTTGCTCGCACACACACATGCACCCGACTCGCTCTCTGGCTCTCTGTCTCTCTCTCGGTGCACGAGGCGTGAAGATTTATTCATCGCGAGTCTGCGACTGAACGAGAAGCAAAGCGACTCTGGGAACCAGGCGCATTGGTCGCCCCAGGTAGGTGGCGAGCGTTCGTGCCGTTGTCTGTCTCCCTGACGATCTGTCTGCGTGTCTGTCTACTTTGTCTACCCGTCTGTCTGTGTCGGCTTGTCCGTTTTCTTGTCTATCTCTCTGCCTGCCTGTCCGTCTATGACAGCACGTTACTCACAGGTTTGTTACACGTGACCCATATACACAAAGACACACACGGACCATGCACACAGAGACACACACACGGACCATGCACACAGAGACACACACACGGACCATGCACACAGACACACACGGACCATGCACACAGAGACACACACACGGACCATGCACACAGAGACACACACACGGACCATGCATACAGAGACACGCACACGGACCATGCACACAGAGACACACACACGGACCATGCACACAGAGACACGCACACGGACCATGCACACAGAGACACACACACGGACCATGCACACAGAGACACACACACGGACCATGCACACAGAGACACACACACGGACCATGCACACAGAGACACACACACGGACCATGCACACAGAGACACGGACTGGCTCACGGGGGACAGTCTCCGTCTTAGGATAACGACGACGACGGTGATTAGGTGGATGGTGGTGATGGTCATGATGGTGGTGGTGATGGTGGTGGTGGTGATGGTGGTGATGGTGATAATGGTGGTGGTGGTGATGGTGGTGGTGATGGTAGTGATGGTGATGTTGGTGATGGTGGTTGTGGTAGTGGTGGTGATGGTGATGATGGTGGTGGTGATGGTGGTGGTGATGGTGGTAATGGTGGTGGTGATGTTGGTGATGGTGGTGGTGATGATGGTGGTGATGGTGGTGGTGATGGTAATGTGTTCTCCGCGCCGTCTCGCGATGATAATTCAGACAAATTAACGGACTGCGCTGGCGCGGCGCACATTCAACAATCTCATCACCTTCAGCGACAGCACTGTCGCCTTCTACCAGACGAGCACTAATTATAGAGGCTAGCAAGCCAACGTTTCGGTCAGTGGCTCTTCTACAGAAAAGAAACGCTACCCTGATCATATATTTGTTTGTACTGCACCGGTGCGATCAAGCAGAACCATTGCCCGCAACGTCGCCGATTATTATTTTTTCTTTTCAAGTAGTAGAGGCGAACGTGTTGAGTTTGTTTTTGTTGTGTGCGTGTGCACCACTGCTCACGGGGTATCACACAAAGCAACGTAATATATATACACAGTATACACAGTATATATAGAAAGATAGTCTTCTGTTCCCGGGAAGAGTTGTTGATGGATGTGGTGGCGAGTTGTGTTGTTTCTAAAAATCCGCGTCGAATGGATCGTTTCGCAAACTGAAGACGAAAGCATCGCCACGTGGGGAAGGCGGTCGTGGTCGGACCGCATCTCCCTGGACCGCGATTCGAACCTTGAAGTCGGGAGATCAGGAGAGAGGGGTTGGTGGGTGTGGGTGGGTCACTGCGATGATGAGATACGCGTTGAAAGGACCAACAACAACAACAAAAAGTTTTAACTTTTTAGCGGACGAAGGCAACTTGTCGTGAGCACGCACAGTGGGAATGTGGGATGATCTCCAGCCTGAGAGTTGGAATTGTGAGGGTTCGATTTCGGATGCGGGGGGGGGGGGCACCGTTCAGTGTGATGCCGCGTGGCCGCTTTTGCTGAGCGGACACAATATTCGTGATCGATTAATTACATATTTCCACCGCCATATACGTCGAAAAAGATTGTCACATCTACAGATAGGCACGTAATATTGCGAACGAACAAATATATCGCTAAAATAATGGGCAAAAAAATGCGGAATATATTACATGAAAACGTATCGGTCGACATTCGTTGATTGAACAAGAGCCTGCAGCCGCCGTGGATTCGACTCCATTGGGCTCGATCAGCAGGGATTGTGCCAGCCTCCAACCAGCGCGCCACCGACTCAGCCGATGTCACGGACGGCAATGTGCCGTGCCCGTCCCTTCCCACCCGCAACTGCACGCAGGGCTCGCCCCCTCTCTTCTGCTGCCCCTGCCTGGGTGTCTGCATCGCTCTGCGCCCGCTTGTTCGCACCGTTCGGCGTACAAACGCACCCCGACTGCCATCTCGTCGGATCGCGCAAGCTCAGCAGTTTTTTGTTTTGAGCCTGGGATACTTCTCTGGCTAATGACAGATGGCGAAGGCTTTGCCTGCGAGGTGGCCATGAGGTGGCAGTACATCAATATGCATTCGTGAGCCTACCCGTGCGGAGCTTTGAGCGTTATTCACCTGTACGTGTGGCGTTTCTCCGGGGACCGCCGGTTTCCTCCCACACGCACGGCTGGGTCATCGCTTTAAGCCCTGCAGGCTTGAGACAAGGGGTGGTGGTGGTGTGGGGGGTTGCTGTGTTAATTCTGCCCGAGCGATTTTGTTGTAAACGCAGCGGCCTCTAGTGGCTGGAGGAGCCATGATGAACCCATTGCTCCGTACCACGTGCACGTGTCGCGAGCTTCAGACTCAATCGAGTAGATGGGTGAAAGGCGCGGCCATGGAATTTCTCGCTCACAGCACTGCTGGCGGAAAGGCCTCTACGGAAGGGAGCTCGAGAGGGAGAGAGGGAAGGATAGTGCCTCGAGAGGGTCTTTGGCCCTACGCGTCCACGCTGGCCAGACGACTGGGAAGATGCGGGAGTAGCCACACTATACCCCCACCGCACGCCACGGCATTAGATACGTCGATGCATTGGACGACGCATTTATCGAAGACATTGCCTCCTTCGTCTGCCTTTTACCAGTGACGTCTCCAATCACATCACACCCTCCCATCTCCTGCAGCCATGCAAATCGCCCATTCCTCTAGCATAACGATGTTACTACTATTACTCCCAATAATCATGCATTTGTATCATTCGTCATATTTAGCCGGCACCAAAACAAAAAATTGACGTAGGCTTGGGTAAGAGACGCCGTCGCTGAGAGGAATTGTCGGCCGGCGGTCAAAAACGAAGGTCCGAGTGGCAGCCCCAGGAGAGTGACGCGCCCCAGGGAACGGCCAACGCGGAGATGGAAGGGCCGCGATCAGCTGGCGTGCAGGCACCAGAGCAGCGCTCTTCACTGATTTCCAGAGGGCGGCACTTCGCCGATGAGACATCAGCAGCGTGTGAGGGCCGCCACACATTTGAAACCGTTGGGGTTTGACAGCAGCACGATGATGAAGATGATGATGGGTGGGGAGTCTTTTCACCATTTGCGTTATTGTCGAGGGGGGCGCACGTGTCAGGGGACCGCAGTAAAAGGCCACCGGGGGCCGTCAGTGGCCCGCGGGCCACTGCGCTCAAGGGCTTGTGTCGTCGTGCGGTCGCGAGAGATGACGACGTCCCGATGGGGGAGGGGAGGCCTTTGTCCAGCAGTGGCTGATCACGATCGAAGAAAAAAAAATCTTCGCTGAGTCTCAAGGGCCGGGGCTTTAGGAGGGGTCCCTGCTACGTTCGGGACGTTTGGCGAACGAACGCGAAGTTTGCCTGCGCGTGCCTCCCCCCAATGTACAACAGCGTCCAGGCGCGGCGAGAGAGTGCACGAAGACGTGGACAGAAGCGTGCGCGTGCAGCCGTTTGTCAATGCACTTCGGGTTTAGGGGATTATTTGAGCATACTTCACTACGCCGGTCTGTGCGGGTTCATAGCGGCGCGTTGAGACGAGGGGGCAGAGCGCTAACGCGCAGCGGCGATTTTGCGGCCACTGCCGTTCCGCTGCCCGCAGTGGAACTCGCGCGAATCTCGCTTCTTGTGGCGCACCTCCGATTAGCGTGGTGGCTGCAGACACTGCGATAGAAGTTCAACATACATTACATTGTGTGATGTCACCCCACACTGCGTTCAACCACCACCACGAGCACACTTGCGTGTCACAACATCTCACTCACCACACTGCAGGTCACAACAAGCTGCTCACTCACCCACTATGTCACCCACTCACTCACCTGCCAGTCACCCACTCACCCACGCACTCACTCACTCACCTACCACTCACCCACCCACTTACCCACTCACCACACTGCAGGTCACAGCAAGCTGCTCACTCACCCACTCTGTCACCCACTCACTCACCTGCCAGTCACCCACTCACCCACGCACTCACTCACCTACCACTCACCCTTCCACCCACTCACTTACCACTCACCCAGCCACCCACTCACCACACTGCAGGTCACAGCAGCCTGCTCACTCACCCACTCGGTCACCCACTCACCCACCCACTCGGTCACCCACTCACCCGCCAACGCACTCACTCATCGACTACTCACCCTTCCACCCACTCACCTACCACTCACCCACCCACGCACTCACCACACTGCAGGTCACAGCAAGTTGCTCACTCACCCACTGTCACCCCACTCACCTACAACTCACCCACCCACGCACTCAGCACACTGTATGTCACAACACTTCTCTTTATGCTTACTCCCTCGCACTGCTCCTCTCCCATCATCATCACCACCGTGTCTTACTTCTTTCGTTCGTTTAAAAATAACCTTGCTCAATTCAACAATCGTGGTAACTCTTCATCTATTACAACTTTAATAGTGCTGTTTGTTGCTGGCCGCTTGACGTTTAGGGTGGGTGAAAGTGGGGGCGAGGGGGTGGGGGAGTCTTTTGCTTCTGTGCTCAGCAACCGTGATGATAAAACAAAACCAAGACGTACGCTGCTTATGGGTCCTGGTTGTGACCACGCGGTCCCGTGACCCACAATGTGTTGAGATAAAGCTCACAGGAGGACCCAATGGGGGTCGCAAACCGCCTCCGATCCGGGGGCCCCCCGAACTCCTCCGATCTCGGCCGCGCGCGTGCGTCTCCCGAAGCGAGCGAGCGAGCAGGCGGACGATGCCAGTGGCGTCTCCTGCCCCCGCGCTGGACGAAGCGAAGCGCAGCTTCTTGGCTTTGCCTGTCAGGAGCCGTCACGAAGCGAGGAGCCATTGGGAATCTGACGGCTGCGATTTTTATGTAAAAAAAAAAACCCGGGAGAGAAAGACCTCCGCCTTTTTCTCCTTCCCGGAGGCGAGGCTGCCGTGCGTGCTTCTGTCGGCTCCGCGTGTTCCTGTTTGTCACGTTGCCTGTAGTTGTCAATGTCTCCGCTCCTCCTCCTCCCTCTCTCTTCTCTCTCTCTGCTCTCTCTTCCCTCACTTGAGCGCACACCCTCGTGAGGAATTGAACTTGTTCGCCGCTGCCTCGTGGCTCTCCCTCAATCTCGCGTCGGTAATTTCCCCCTCTCTCTTCATCTTACTCCCCCCTCTCATCTCTCTCCTCTCTCTCATCTCCCTCCTCTCTCTCATCTCCACGATTCAACCTCTCTGTCCTCTCTGCCCCCCTCCCCCCTCTCTCTATTTACCTCTCTCCCCTGCTCTCTCTCTCTCCATCATCTTCACACCGTGAGAGCTACCGTCATCATCATCATTCATTGCATTTACAATTAGAAGCAGGATATATGACTCCACTTATTCAAATACGAAATCACATCGTATCGTTGCTTTCCCCGCATGTTAAATGCATTCATTATAACAAAGTAATAATAATGAATTTGAACAATTAAATCAACTGATGTACAAGTGGATGCTTATAGCACAGAATCGCGAGAAGAGGCCTTTTGTCAGCAGGCGATTGATCATGGCTCATTGATGATGATGATGGTGAATGTGATGATGGAACGCTTTAGAGGCAAAGGGTTGGTGGGTCACGTTGAGATGTGTGAAATTCCACAATCCCACTGGACCGCGAAATGGCCAATAGATGGTGCTCTAAAACGGGGGTTTGTAAACCTGTGTGTGTGGACCCTTGAGCGTTATTATTCATAGTGTGTTCAAATGTTTACGTGTAAGCATGTATGCATGTACGTGCGTGCATAAGTATTTATATGTTTGTATGTATAGCGGGAGTGCAGTGGTTTGCGCACTGTGATACAAACCCAGCGACTCGAATTCGATTCCCGCTCACAACGATATATAACAGTGGTGATTATTTGAACCCGTTCTGGGCCTCCCCTATGTAGACTCAGCCTTAAATCAATACCTGGCGTGGTGTGTAATTAACGTCAGCAACGGGGAAGACAAAGACGGCCGGGCGTGGTGCTGGCCACCCATCCTCGTCGTGTGCCGTGCCCGGCCTCCACAGGTGCGCTCTGCGAACAGCACTTGCCCCAACGGTCCGTTGAAGGCTACACGGGGGATCTTTGTCTGTGTAAGTCCTTACTGCAAGGTCGCCCGCCGTAGCCCGTGATTAAAGCACCGCGAGCCACAATCGCACCCTATTGTTTTGATTAAGTGAAATTGCCTGATCGCTTTCGCTAAGTGGGACATCGCCGCCTGCCAAATATCCACGGTTATCAGCTGCAGTGTAATTGCCCGTTCAAAAACAAACACGCCCGCGAACAGTGGAAACCCGAGTAACGTTACAACGACGTCCACACGACTTGTCGGCGATGTTGTCGATCCACCGCTAGATGAGGGCCTCCCTCACTCCTCCGCATGCCGTGTCGGTCATGGGGGGGGGGGGGTCGGGAGGTTGGTTGGTTGACCATAATCCAGCACGTTGGTGAGTGCAGGTTTGTTGGTGTAAAATTAAGGATGGGGGTTGGGGCAGGGGAGAGGGGGCGAATGCATAAACGGTGCAGATATCGCAGCAGAAGGCCGTGGGTAATATCATAATTTTAAATACACACATTAACACAACATCAATTGAATGTAGATTTAACAACACAATGGGTGCTTCGGGACCAATATATATACATTTTTTTTTCCATCAGCATTATCTTTTTTTAACTGGCCCCAAACTCACCCTGTTGATGAGCCTCGGAAAGTTGAACCCGACCCAGAGCTCGTACAATTCTCAGACCGATTGTCGCTGGTAAACATTTCTCCGGAAGCTCCATTGTACCCAAAGACCCGAACGTAATTGTATTCACGTGGGAGGCCCTGCGCCGGGCTATTTATTACTTAGCCCGGGAGAACTGTGGTCCCGTCCGTGTGAGAGTCCATCGGAGTCACGCTCAGTAGCGTCATCACACGGAGGACGCCGCCACCAACGCCGACACCGGAGTGTGGGAGGGGTCCGCAAAAACCTGCGGCTCGCTGAGTCCGCAACGGCTCTTTAAGGATGCTAAATGACGTTGTTTATTGAAGGGCCGCCGTCTCGTATCCACATGCATTGCGGCTCTTGAGATATTGCGTTTGTTGTTGCTGTTACCCAATTCGTTACTTACGACCTCCGGCCCACACCAACCTGCTTACACGACTCACCGTATAGCTCACCAACCCCAAGAGCTAAACTCACCACACACGCAGTTTACCAGCACTAACGTTCATACAACCACGACGTTCAGCCACTCCAGACCTCAACTTACCACGCAGCTCAACAGCTCCGATGCCCGACTAGGTGTTAATGAGAATTCGTTCATGAAGCTGTTGATATGTTTTAATGAACGTAGCAGCGGCTGCCGAAACGGACTAATTTGCCAGCTTGTATTTTATTTTCTCCTCTCGAACCTTCAATTTCAGTGCGACTGTTGCGTTTCACATTATTAGGAGCACTTTGCCTGTTTGCTCAGGAAAGCCTCGCAAGAGTCTCACGACTTTTTTTCTGCCAAGTGTTTTCTTTTTCTCAGTAGGGAGGGAGGGGGGTGTGTGATGTTGCTGCTACGTGTACAGTATATCATCCCCATTGAGCAATTACGGAAAACTTTCCGGCATTCCCATTGCAAGTTTGTTTGTTTCGTCGCTTATGGGAGGAAGTCGGTGAACGTGGAGGGAACCCACGCAGGAGCAGGTGGATAACGTGCAAACTCCACGCACACACACACACAGCGCGCAGAGTCGAGGAGGCGAACCCAGAGGATAATTGCTGTTAGGTCACAATCGTTACCACTCGCTGCTCCACGCTCCTGCCCGACTTGCACATTGCAGTCTGAGACTGTCGCCACAGCTACAGAGCAGCTGTAGTCCCGATTTCACGCACCCCAGCGAGTCGAGGAATGTCCGCTATTCGAAACTAATCGATTTTATTTGTCCCAGATGCCAATGTATAAGTTGGTATGAAAAATTATAATTGATTTTACCCTTCCTGGCAATAACACAGGAAGCGTTAAGATGTTCAAACACCAAATGGATACCTTTTGCAAGGGATCAAGTCTGAATTAACCACACGTGGTACTTTGTGGTGAACATGAGAACCAACATGCTCTGATAATAGATGATGTATTGTCTCTAAGACTAAGTGGCCTACACCAGAGACAGCCTTCTTTATGGCCTAGTCTCACCAGGGTCAGACCAGAAAACAGCACAAAGACAATGTAGGTATTAGAGCATTTATAGCTCGGGGTGAGCAAATGTGTCATGAAACCTTTTGCCAGTAGCAAAGTATGAAAAGTAAGAAGAGATTTTACCCTTTCCGACAAGAAGCCTGTGTCATCAGGCAACATTAATAAAACAAATTCTCATTACGTCCTAATGTGGTGGCAGGTACAATCTCCAACCCCTACTACCCACTCTGTTGCTCTAGCCTCGCTATTTATGCGCAAAGAAGAAGAGTCATTGCCCGAAACGTCGCCTCTCTATTTTGTTTTTATTTTGTTTCATTTAAGGCCAGGGAAGTTATGGACGAACGTGATAAGTTTGTATTGTTTCTCGTATCGCTCTTCCGTCCCCGTTTTGTGCTGCAGTTCAACTCGCCCTGTCAGTCGAAGCGAAACAGCGAGCAGTGTCGTTTTGCCAAGAATCGACGACGACGACGACGATTACAACAACAACAAAAACAAACTCGCCAACGAACATCGATATATTGTCACTCGATGCTCGCTACCCGTATCGCGAGCCACGTGAATGCACGGGCGATCGATCACCGACTCGGTTGTTGGCGGAGAGTTATGGGGTGAAGGCAAACACAATCACGATTCCATTCTGTGTCTCCCACATGGAGATATAATGATGCTTTAATCCATGGGCCTATTGGCTTTCCACACCAATATTATCCAGCGGCGAGTACCAACTCTGGACCTGGTTTCGACCTTTTGGGCAATCACCAGCAGGGTCAGCCTTGTAAGGCAAATGCTACCGCCGAGACTCATAATGTCAAAGCCGGCATACGGAGTTTATTTGCTCGAGCGCGAGCTCCTTAATAATAATAATAATATCGGTGTGCGACGACCACGGGCCAACGGACGCACACGCTATTTTATTTTCAGCGGAGTTTCTGCTTATTCCGTGCGAATCGATACACGAGGGGGCGTTGGCTGATGCCGCGATGACCGCGCTGCGCGAGCAGCACGTAACCAACACCCAACACAACACATCAGTCAATAGCATTGCGGCCTTGGACAAAAAAAAACTCTGAAAATTATATATAATGGGCGACAATTTAGAATAATGGTCCTTCTTCACAGCGCACGTTGGAGAGCCATTGCCCGGCACGTCGCATATTGCATGTTAATGGGGATTCGTAATGCCCCCTAAACTGTGGAGCTATGCCGTAGAAGCATATGGGGGTCGCGCGCTATGCGAGTCGGGGTAATGGATGGATGCGCGTCCCCACCCCCCCCCGCCCCCCCCCAGATTCGCGGCGCCCGCGGTGTTGTTGCGTACGCGTGGTGGCAGATGCTGGGAGAGACAAGCAGCCGAGGTGGCTCAGAGGTCAGAGGCACCGAGCCAGCACCGACGACAAACCTGGGTTCGAATCCGGCTTTTCGAACACCTGTACTCGTACACTCGTGGGACGATCCCGGACTCCAAGAACGAACTGCCCACCGAGCAGCCGTCGTCACGTTGAGCCACGTGAGCGTGGGTTCTGTAGGCGTGACTGTGGAGTTGAGTGCTCGCCAAGTCGTATGCAGTGCGAGCGAGTTTGTGAGCCGAGGCCGTTTCCATTGTCGGCGTGAGTGGCTTTGGTCAGTGCAAGTCGAGTCTGTGGAGGTGTGCAGGTGAACCAGTGAGTGTAAGTTCATCACAGTCATCTCAGTTAGTCGACCTGTGGCACCTGGGTCTGCCCCGTGACCTGCCAGCGGGCGTTCGACATTTCACGTGGCCTTAACGTGCACATAGCCTGGCACAAGCGTCGTGGTGACGTCACCGCCACTTAGTGGCGAATGGTGGTTGTTGTTGTTGTAAGTTCCATGGAGCGGTAGTGTAGCTGTAAGAGCGCTGCGCTACGAACCTGGCGACCCGGGTTCGATTCCCGCTCACGGCCAACACCGGTGACGATTATTTGAACCGGTCCTGGGCCTCTGTATAAACATCGCCACTGGGGAGACAAATACGACCAGGGGTGGTGCTGCTGGCCACCCACCCCCTCGCGTGCCATGCCGGCTTTCATAGGTGCTCACTAACAGCACTTGCCCCAATAGTCTGTTAAGGTTATACGGGGGTTCTTTGTATTTGTAAGTTCCATGCAGGTGAGCTTAGTAGCATAAGTGTTTGCAATTCCAATGGAGGTGAGTTGATACGTGAATTGTAAGTTCTACAGTGTGGAGGAGAAGTGGTTTGGTGAGTGTAATTGTATCCTGTAAGGATGAGTAGGCTGGTAAGTGTTAGTCAGTCACACCGAAGTGGATCAGTCTTTCAGTACCAACCAGATATGTAGAAATCACTGGATGTGTGAGTCTTAGCTCTATTGAGGTCATTATAACGCGGCCGTTACGGAGCTCAGTACGGCACTTTATATCAAGTGGAACAGTTCCTAACTATGTTGTCCCTGCGCATCCATCTCGCCTTATTTTGTCTATTTAATTGGATTTTAGGAACATCGGGTACAGCAATATATGGTTATTATGGATAGGCGTGCCTTGAACTCTCGTGGTAGTTATTTACAACGATAATTCCCACTCCCAAACCAGCCTCACAGTGTTCCGGAAAATATCGAGTGATAAATTAAGCGCCGAGTACAGGCGGAAGTGCAGGTGAGTCCAAGTGGAAGTGAAAGTGAGTATAGGTGAGTTCATTTCCGTACAGTTGGAAGTGCAATTTGAGCACAGGTGAGTTCAGGTGAGTATATGTCAGGGGTCGGCAACCAAAATAACAAGAAGAGCCATTTCTTTCCAATTCGGTACAAAATTCAGTATTTCAAGAGCCGCAATGCATCTGAGTACATACTGTACATACGTACATATCGTCAAGAAGCAGCCCGTAAAGAGCCGCATGCGGCTCCGGAGCCGTAGGTTGCCGACCCCTGGTATAGGTGGAAGTGCAGGTGAGTGAGGTGCTGCAGGTAGATTTACGCTTTAATCCATCAGGTCTATTCGCTTTCCACGCCATTTTTACCGGGCAGCGAGTCAAAACTGTTGGGCCTGATGAAGGAGGCTCGTGCTCCGCCTGCGGTTTTGGGGTTGGGTTGAGACCACACAGACGCCCCCACTCCCGCCCCCGGGACGCAGAGGGAAGCGGGGTCGTGACCTCGCGGCCTCTCAACTCAAGCGGGGACTCTGGGGAGCTCGGATTTATCGCTGTGCGGATAGAGGTTTTTTTTTTTTTAACACCAGGCGTCTATAAAAGCGTTTATACAAAGAGAGACCGTGCGTATGTGTGCGTGTGTGGGGAGTGGAGGCGCGGCAGTTGGCGCGCTGCGCCACGCACCCAAGCACCTGAGTTTGATTCCTGATCACTTCCAACACCGGTGAGGATTATTTGATCCGGTCCTGGGTCACTCCTACGACGACTCAGCCTCAAATAAGTACCCGGGTGCAATGGGTAAAAGGTGGCTGGGCGTGGTGCTGGCCACCCGCCCCCTCGTGCGCCGTGCCGGCGTTCATAGGTGCTCGCTAACAGCACTACGATTCAGCCTGGGTTTAACCAGACTGAATTATGTAAGTAGCTCACAGATCCTTGAAAGATCTGGACACAGTCCCATCAGTGACCGCCACCAGCATGCGAGGCTGCGTTGACTTGGTCATGTAGCCCGCATGCCCAGCCACTGCCTACCCAATCAGCTTCTGTTTGGTCGGCTAAGCGGGCACGACATGGGTTAGAGAAGAGATGAACTGATGCCGAACAGAAGGAAGGAGCTGATTGGACTTGCACATGACTGGTACGAGCGGTGTCAAGATCGGCCTCTATGGAGGAGTCTCTTGAAGGACGCTCCTGGGCATTTGGGAGGCAGGCACCTTCCCACAACAGCGGAGGGTGGGCGGCTAAAAGGTAGCAAGTTGACACACTGGGGAACACAGGTGGTACATCTGCCAGTCTTCTCAGTCAATCAACCAATAACACTTAGTTCTGTTCCATAACCTGCTGCCAAAAGCGGGCCTTCCAGAATCCACGTGGCCTCAAGGTGCACCTAGTCTGGCACAAGCGCATTAGTGATGCCACCGCCACTTCGTGACAAATGGCGGCTGTTTTATGAAAGATTGCGGCTGGGGCGGAGCGGTTTACGCAATGTGCTACGGACCTTCGTGCTCACCACCTCGGTGTGTGTGGGTATCTGTCCGTGGGGAGCGGTGGCGCAGTGGTCAGCGTGCTGCGCTACGCACCTGGCGACTCAAGTTCGATTTCCACTCATGGCCAACACGAGTGACGATTATTTAAATCTGTCCTGGGCAACCCCTAGGTCAACTCAGCCTCAAACGAGTACCTGGTGTGGCGTGTAAACATCGCCACCAAGGAGACAAAGGCGGCCGGGCGTGGTACTGGCCACCCACCCCCTTGTGCGCCGTGCCGGCCTTCAGAGGTGATCGGTCACAGCACTTGCCCTAAAAGTCCGTTAAGGCTATACGGGGGCTCTTTGCCTTGTGTTTGTCCGTGTGTCTGGTATAATTACCCCCGCGGGCAACCACACGGCAACACTGTAGTGTGGTCTTGAGCAATGCCATGGGGGGGGAGGCTGACGTCAGTCAGCTGGCGTGCTCACGGCCACCAACAGTGGCAGACAGAGGCAATGGAATACAGGAGGCCCGGTGTCACCACGAGGGGTGGACAGTCTTCTACACGGGGGGGGGGGACGATTAACGTCACCGGAACAGGGAGTGGCCATTCCTCTCAATACAAGAATGAAGGGCGCGTGGGAGCGTGGCAGTGAGATGCGGGAAGTTGTGAGTCCCTCGGTTGTTGTGGGCTCGCATCCCCATCAACAACAGGCTAAGGGGTGGTGGTGGCTGTGGTGGTGGCTGCCCTCACCAAAGACGAACATCCGCGGTGGGACGCAGGCTAGGCTGATGAGTCAGATGCCTTCAATGACCTCCTCGTCCAGGTGTTGGCTAAAGTGGGCCCTCGGGATGTAGTCACCTTTATCGGGTGACTTTAATGCCCGAGTGCGAAAAGCTGCCACGTACACACACACTCACTTGAATCAGCGCCCTCGACGGTCACGGCGGATGCGTTTAGCAATCGTCAGTCGCATAGCTTCTACTCTCACTGGTGATGCCACGGGGTCTTTAACGTCGTGCCTGGGTGAGGTTCCATGCGAAGCGCTGCGACTGCTTACTCACGGCCCTGCTGTTCAAGGCGCTTCATGTAGCATGGTACGAGAAAGGTTGATATGGCAGGGGCGCGTAAGAGCTGAGGAGTGGGGTGACCGCGATAGAGGGGTGCGTCGGTGGTTACGAGAGGGTAGGGGAGGGGCCGGAATCAGTGGGAGGTAAGAGGTGCGAGTACTCACACTTGACCCCACCACACGAGGCCTACATTGCTCACTGTTCGGCAAGGCCGTAATTATAATATATATTGGGGGGGGGGGACATCCCCCCCAAATATTCAAATGTGCTAAAAATGTCCCCCCCAATATATTGCTATAAAAATGTTTTAAAATAATTGCTATGCTATGTAAATAAAAATAACAATTCGCTCAACCTTGGCCACAATATATGGACTTGTCTTCATGTAACAATGCATAGATTTATGTTCGTATGATTGTGGTTATGGTTGTACTTTATTCATCCCTAATTTCTGCCATTACATACAATGAAACAAGAAAAGGGAAAAAAATAAAAAAATAAACAGATAAATGTAATACAAAACACTATTAGACATTATTGTAAAAAATAAATAAAAAGTCCATCCCATGTGTTAGTGAATTTTAAAATATTTTAGGCAGGAAATTCGTTTTCTGGGGGGAGGGAACCCCCAGACCCGCTGGAAAATGTGCCCCCCCCCCCAATGTTGACTCCATGGCTACGGCCTTGCTGTTCGGTGACGACAGTGGCGTGGAGAAATTCAGAACTCGATACTCGACAGCACGACACCGGGGGGATGCGGTCGCCTGTCCTCTCGAATGACGCCACAGGGTCCCCAACATCCTGCCGAGATGAAGTTTACTAGCGCTGCCATGCGATTGCTCTCCCGCACACCTGCCCTCCCCTTGTTTCAGCTGCCCCGTCGGGACATGGAGTCGAACCGACGAACTCCGGATTGCAGGTCCACTTGTTGCTGACCATTGCACCGCTGTGGCAGCGTCCGCCAGATATCGTGTCTACCCACGCGCCCTTCACACCCCCACCCCGCATCATCAATCCCCGCGATGTAAAAGCGAAGTTCACAATCCCAGTCACCCATCATTGACCGTTTGCCGGCGAGCGAACTGCGTGTGCGGTATAGACCGGCCTAATGAGCCCTAGGAACCACTCTCTCGGATCGTACAACATGCGTCGGAGTTTGCTTTGCTTCTCCGTAGACGGTGTCCATGGATCTCCGGTGGGGTTGTCGGCTTGTACCGCGTGCTGTTTTGGTCGGCGGATCGCACCCGAATGGCGAAGAAACTCCCCCGCCCGTGGACGTCGAAGGATGAGCCCCGTCCCCTCCCCGCTTCGCTCGGGAGAAGTCGCTGCAGCAATAAGTGGGGAACTCCGCCT